CTTGGGTCGCAGCAACTCCATGCAGTGCTACAGACTGCTACAAGAGTGGCTTGAGAGCTGCTTATCAGAAAGGGACTTGGGGGTGTTGGTTGACAGCTGGCTTGATATGAGCCAGCACTGTGCCCAGGTGGCCAAGAAGGCCAATGGCATTCTGTCATGTATCAGAAATAGGGTGGCCAGCAGAACTAGAGATGTGATTGTCCCTCTGTACTTGGGAATAGTGAGGTTGTACCTCAAGTACTGTGTCCAGTTCTGGGCCCCTCACTCCAAACAACCATTGAGGTGCTGAAGTACGTCCAGAGAAGGGTAACGGAACTGGTGAAGGGTCTAGAAAATACGCCCTATGAGGAGCAGCTGAGAGAGCTGGGGTTGTTTAGTCTGGAGAAGAGGAGATTTGGGGGGAGCTTCTCACTCTCTACAACTACCTGAAAAGTTGTAGGGAGGTGGAGGTCAGTCTCTTCTGCTATGTCTCAAGTAAAAGGGCAAGAGGAAATTGCACCAGAGGAGGTTCAGATTAGATATTAGAACATATTTTTTCACTGTAAGAATGGTTAGGCATTGCAGTAAGTTGCCCAGAGAGGTGGTGGAGTCACTGTCTCTGGAAGTGCTCAAGAGGCGACTGGATGTGGCACTTGGGGATACAGTTTAGGGGTGATAATGGTGGCATTTGGTTGATGGTTGGACTAGATGATCTTGAAGGTCTCTTACAACCTTGATGATACTGCGAATTTACTGTCTTTCACTTCTAAATTGTTACTCTTTTTCCTGTCACTACAGGTCCTGGTAAAAAAATCTTTCTTACCAGCTTCCTTTAAGTATTGAAAGGCAACATTAAGGTCTTCCTGGAGTCTTCTTTCTGTAGGCTGAACAAACCCAACTCTCTCAGCCTTTCTGTGTAGAAGAATTGCTCCAACTCTTTGATAATTTCTGTGCCCCTCCTCTGGACCTGCTCTAACAGCTTAGATACTCTTTACTATAAATTCCAGCTCCACCTCCAGGACATCTGCATTTCACATTCCATCTTGTTTTTGACTTGAGTCTGGCTCAGAAATTTTTACTCTCTGGGGACCAGGCTGAACAGCGCAGGCATGCTCCACACTGATATATATCCGGTGTATGCCTGTTCCCTTCCACCCCTTCTCCCCTCCTGCAGTGGCACTGCACCTGCCCAGGTCTGACATTTTTCAGTCAGCTTTGGCTCAGACTTGTAAGGCCAGCAGCAGGTTCACATCATAGTCATCACCCCAACAAGAATATGATATCATAAATGGCAGCTTTGTGGTTTCCTTCTTTTTGTCTGCAGCACAATAAGCAGGAACAAGTGCCGGGCATTTGGCACCCCAGCTTGCTTTCTGAGCTCTGCCTGGGCAAATCAGATAGAAGTGTATCCTCTCAGAAAGCAAATTATTTGGGAGGGTAGAGGGAAGAGACATTATTTAATTAATAATTTTTTTACAGACCTTTTCCCTCCGGAAGTCCTTTTCTGCTATCTTAGGGCAAGGTCTAAGAGTGTTTAACTTAAAAGATCTGGTATGGAGATTTTGATCATAAAGACTTAATTAAATGAGGTGTTTGGGGAGTTTAATATTACATCTTTGCTGATGACTGGCTGATTGTTTTACTTGCCTTTGATCAACTGTGTGAGTGGAGGGTCATCCCAATCACCACGGGCCTACAGTATCCGTCATCACCCCTCAGTCCTATTTGTCTTGCGTGTGTATGCAGAAGGCCTGCTTTTGATGAACTGTGAAAAGAAAGATGAACTGTTGTAATGAAAACATTCCCTCCCCAAGATCCTCTTTAGACAACATTCAATTGGTTTGACCTTGTCCCCTCTTGCGGAGGACGGTAATGATTCCTGCAGATGGCTGGGTCATTCCTTGGACACTTGGGAGCAAGGGAGCTGGATTCTCCATCTGTGTTAGCTCTACAGCTATGCAGGCTGCAGCTGGGAAATGCAAGAGTAGGATGGGTAGAGCAGCATGGGCAGACATACCTGAGGTAGCTGACATCCTGCCAGCTGAAATCCTCATAGACATTCTGGTGTGGCTATTTATACTTGAGGGACCTCACCTAGGCTTGTTTTGCTCATGGCACATGCATGAACTAGCTAGACAGAGAGAGATGGATCCCTTAGGCCTGCAGTTTCCTCTCTGAGGCAAAGGCATAGCCTGAGGCAAGACATTCAAGATGCCAGCTTGGCTTCATTGCCCTGTTGCAATATTTGCAGGGCAGCAAATATTAGTAAATGGTCTGTTAGCTGAGCTAGTGGCCTCCTCCTTAAACCCCTCTTGCTCCCAGAGAAGCAGCCTTCTTTGATTATGTCACATTTAGAATAGTGACATAAAAGCTGATGATGAGCACAACCTTCATGTTCATCCTCACACTTTTAGGGAAATGACATCCCTGGACCAGCCCCTGGGAGATGGGCCTGTCCCTCTGTCAGCTAAAAAGATGACTGTGTTGGAAATGTTTACCCATTTGTCTCCAGGGTAGGAGAACAGAAAGACTTTCCAGTACTTTTACTGCTTAGTAAGAGACAGTAGAAAGAAATAGCTCTGTGTATTAGAAGGATTGAACAATATTTGGAAACTAAACTGCTACCATCATAGTTAGAGGCATTAAAGGGCACATGAACTTTTGTATGAACACTTAGTAATGGCCTGTGTACGGTCTGAAAAGTTGGCAAGCGTAAGCAAAGAAGAGAAAGGATGAACAGGGAAAAGAGAGTACACCAGAGTGATGGGACTTGTCTTATGTCACACACCCAGTCCTCAAAACCAGACACCAAACAATCCCAGTTGGTGTCCTATTTGTGAGACCACTGAGTCTACTCTGGTGGCCCTGGAAATACTTGATTTTAGAAGTGGTCAGTCTCCTCTTCCGCCTGAATAGTCCGAGGATGTCATGACACATCAAGTTCTCACAGCTTCATAAACTGGTCCACAGTCAAACCCACTTTAAGGCAGTTTACCTTTTTTAAAGTGCACTTATCCCATCCTTCTGTGGCTGCTCCAAAAGGAGCTGCAGTTACTTTATCGACATAAATCTTGCCTGTGGAAATATGCACAAATAAATTGTATGCCTACTGGACTAATCTTTCTGGTTTCCTCATACTTCCTCCATTTCAGGAGTTTCACGAAGATGCACTTATTGTGTGCCTCAGTTACAAGACACCCTGACACTTGAGCGCAGGCCAGATACTGACCGTTCTTGCTTTGTCATGCTTCAGTGAAGCAAAAATGCCACCCTTTCTCTAGGAAATAACACTGACACCAGCATCTTGGTACCTACAATAAGAAGCTTTTTGCCAGATGCTGCTATCTGCAGCTCAGAGTGGTAAGGGTGGGATTTTCTGCCTACCTCTGCAGCACAGGATTATATAGGCATGACTCATTTAATCAGTTTAATCATGTTTCCTTCCATTTGGGGTGCCTCAGATATTACTCCCTGGGCTGGCCTCGCTTTCTATTGACCTCTGCCAGAGGCACACGACAATTTAGTCTCCTGGAGGACTGCAGCCCTGTCATTTACGTGAAGTCAAGGGCTCTATACTGGGGTATTCCAGTTTGACTGGTCCCAGTGTGATATGACAGCAGCCAGAATGCTTTATTCTTGTAACCACCCCATGGCTTGCTTCATAGTGCATTAAGTGCTACAATCCTCCATAAATGTACTGGCTGAAGAGTGCTTCCTGCTGAGGTGTGCAGATTTAGCTACATTCATTCAAGCAGAATTCCTCAACAACCTTAAAAATTGTTGTTTAGTCTCAGCAAGATCTGCAGTACTAGATGTGCAGCCGGCAGGAGTGGCAGTCAAGGAAAGATCTGGCTTGGGATTCCCCTGCAGGATTTTCTCCAGATAAAGAACCCTACCCAAACACCATTGTATAAGAGAAGAGGAAGTCCCTCCAACTGGCATCTGAAGCAGTGCAATGAGGCTAAAACCCTGAGTTAGATTCATGAGACAGCTGTGTGTGTCACAGCAGTTTATGGTGCGTGTGGCAACAGGCACTGGGAGATTACTTGCTCCAGTAACTTGGGCTGGGTGTTCAGGACCCAAAGTAAATACAAGAGCCACAGAATTGTACAAAAGCTTAATACCCTTTATTCATAAAACATTTTTCATTCAGTGGCATTTTAAAGCATTAGTACATCCTGTATACATGGAGCAGAGAGCGACGCTGAACTCAGTAACCTTTGCCCCAAGCAGCCGTAGGAAGAACAACCAGGAGTTTATAGAGAGCCTGCACCCCAGCTGCACAAGATGCACCCTGCTCTGACCCTGTCCCTGTCCCATGTGAATGGCTCCTGGCCATCTGGGATCCAGGTGATCTGTGCTCCCTGAGACAACTTGGGCACACAATGTGACTTGCAGTCACATCAGCTGCATTTGTGAGCTCATACATAGGAAGTAGGTGTCTGAGTCTTACTTGGAGGAATAACCCCAACTATAAAAATAAGTGAGTGCTTTGGCACCCCATCAAAGATCCCTCCAGATACACAAATGCAAAAAAACCTTAACACTGATTGTGATCACCAAAATTATTTGACTTATTTCATTGGACAACACATGAAGACTGCAATCCTGCTGCCTAGGGCACACACCTATCTGTCCTGCTAAGTATTTCTAAAGCATCTGATGGCATTGTTAGTCCAGCCCTGACTTGGTGCCAGCATTAGACTAGTCAGCAGGACTGCTTTCTCCTCCCTTGGTGCATGTCAGCAGATACGTTCAGGAGACACACACACATTCCAAGTATTGGGCTACTGACTGGTGGATTTAAAAATCTGAGCAACTAGCAAATCCATGGAAAAACAAGCACTTTTGAAAGCTATGAAAATTCAAATGCATTGCTGACCTTCAAAGCTTTGCAGACTAAAGAGAAAAATATCCATCCATTTCTAGATTTTTGTGAAATTAGAAATTGCATGCCTCTGCACTCCCAGATGAATGTCAAATCTTGCACCTCATCAGCATCTATCATCATTCCTACTTAGAAATGGGTCTGTTGCAAATGAAGTGGAAGGTCGAAGGAGCTTGCTGGCCCTTGGCTGATGTGTGCATCTCAAATTTAAATTCCAGAAGAGTCACAGAAGAGGACAAAAGGGCGAAGAAGTGCAACAGAAAGGCACTGAACTCACAAACAGGGGAGAGTTGCTCTCTGTGGGTATGTCTGAAATGTCTTCTAATTCTAAATTAGCCAATGGTACTTGTGTTGGCTTAGCTGCATGGGAGATTTCTGCCCAGCAGTCCCTGGCTTGTTGCACTGAAGATGAGTTCCAACCTCTCCGGAGAGCAGCATCATGGGTGGCTACAACCTGGGGATCCCTAGGCCACCACTGCCATCCAAGCCTCTGCTCCTCCTGTGCTGGCCCATGACAGGGCACCCCTCCAGACAAACACCAGTTGCATAATGTTCCGTCATAAAAAATGGACAGGATTACAGAAAAGGAAGGGATGAAAATACAGGCCCAATGAATCTGCTGAAAAAAGGCAGCTTCTTTGTCAGGTCTTAAGGCACCCTGCTTGCCTCACGGTGTTTATATCTGTGAGGGCATGTGCACTATTGTTTTACACAGGCCTAATATATGCATGGCAGTGTGCCCTTGGCTTTTTCTTTTTATTTAATCTTTGACTTGACAGTGTTGGAACTTGCTTCCCTGTGAAACCAGAGGAGAGACTGTTGTGTGCTTCAGGTTTTGCTTTTGTTCTGTTTCTACTCCTTTTATCGAGTTACATAAAGAAACTCGGCAACTCCTGCCTGCTCCTAAGTGTTTGGGTGTCTGTCTGACTCTATTTGCTGGGGCACCAAGGTGTACCTCAGTGCAAGGCCACCACACTGGCCACCACTGCAGGTATGATTTGGCAATTTGGACATTGCCAAGGGCAGCTGGTCCAGTAGGGAGCCTTAATTTTACATCAGCTGAAAGCTGCCCTTCATGCTTGTTTGCATCTGTAACTCCCTGTAGTGTTTTGGGGATATTCTTCTGGACAATCTGAAGATGGACAACTCCCCCAAATCGCTTCCTCCATCAGACAACAGTCTGTAAAACCAGATGGTGGCCTGGTCACAAAACACTCACCAGAGGATTAAGAATCAGCTCTGCATCCATAGCAGAAATCACACAAAATGGAGCTGGAAGAAACTTTTAAAGGTTATCTTGTCCTTCTACCAGCCTCCAGATAGGATCAACCGTGCTGAAGGTGATGAGAGAGTTATCTCAACTGCTGCCAAAGCCTTCCAAAAAGACCACTTGCACACAGCAAACCATCTCAGTGGTGCACAAGTCTCACAACTGGAAAATTACTTTTAATGTCTCACCTGAATTCCCTTTGTTGCACTGTGAGCCTGCTACTTCCTTTCCTGTCCCCAGCAGACATGAAGAGCAGCTTATCCTTCCTCCTTGCAGTAGCCTTTCACACACTTGAAGGGTGTTACCACATCTACCCATCTTCAATTCCCTAGACTAAACAAACCCAATTCTCAATCTTTCCTCGTAGCTCATGTTTTCTAGCCCTCTTGTTGCTGCCTGCTGGACTCTCTCCAGTTGGTCAACATTATTCTGGAAGCTTGATGCTCACACGTGTATGTAGATAGATTCTACAGGTTACTTCAGGCCAAAGGACAAGAGGGGAGCAGTTTCAAAGTTGGGAGATCCTGGCTGCCAATGACCTAGTCACTCCAGCTGTGGAACCTCTGCAAAACTTGGCTCTGAGTCAGACTGGCAGTCTCACAGAGAAGCAGCAGATTCATAGATGGATATCAGCACCTCAGATTTATCCTAGAGCCTAATGGGCAGCTGTAGAAATAAATAAAAAAAAAAAAAGAAAAAAACCCAACAAAACAAACACAAAACAAAATACCCCAACCCCCCAACCAAATAAATATAAGCAAACCAACCAATCAAACAAAACAACTCCCCCCAAAAAAACCCCAACTTAAAACCAAGCAAAAAATACCACTAGAACTGGCATAGTGCACTCATTGCATGATATTCTTTGTGATAAACATGCTGTTAAAATTATTTCTGCTTCAGTTTGTGGATAGATTTATGATGAGTTGTTCTGAAGAGCATGTGAAGAACAAAACAACCTCTAACAGTCTATTAACAATGTAATCAGGGGCACATTACATTGTCCCGTTGTCACAGAAAAAGAAATTCTTCCTTTTCATGTCCCAAGGCTTATTGTCCGGGTGATGGAATATGCTAGTATGTCCATACTCCCTTTGTAAAAAGCCCAGACTAAACCCCAGACTAGTCGGTACATTGAGCACAATACAAAACCCGAGGGGAGGTGAGCCATTTCTTGAAATCATGGCATATTATACTTTGAGCAGAGAAGACACTGACACAGTTTTTCTGCTTCTGGTCCTGCCATTACCTCTGTGGCTAGCATTGGGATCATTGCAACGTGTTTCATGGCATGGTGTGGACATGCCCCAAGGAGCTCGTTGGGTTTTTGGGAAAGGTTCTCACTCCTATATTTTTCAAGGCAACAGGGTTTCTGTCTGGTTTCATTGTCATGTTGCAAACTTTTTTCCCCTGGAAATTGCTCTTTCCAAACTCTAAACTTAACATCCCTCAAAGAGCTTGCCCTTTGTGAGCCAAAATCCTTAGCTTCCGTCAAGTGAAGACAATGGAAAGACATGTTAGAACAGCCACACTGATACACCTCAGGCAAGGCTCAGCTCCACTCTTTTCTGGGGAACTGCTCAAATACATATTGGCTAGGATTTGAGCCAAGATTTTGCAGTTAATATTTGCCAAATTTAATCACAACTGCCCAGATTTGACACTGCCTTAATCCCATTGAATTGTTCCTTAGTCTGCAGCAAGTGCCTCCAGTTTCAATTAGACCATCGTGGTTATGGGCACTTTCAAAAAAAAAAAAAGGGATCAAAACCTGATTCTGGAAATCTGCTTGTAGAAACCATTAATCCAAACCAAGGTTGCATTTCAGCTGTCCAGTCCACAGCATATTATAAAAAGGAAAGATTTAAATAAACCCTCTGTTGGAACTGTATTGGACCATTGTAGCAAAAGATTGTGAAGACCAAACTTCCTTGAAAGAGAAGAAGAGTGTGGACTGGCTCATTGAAAAAAAGTCTCCCTAAGAAGCTCCCTCTTTAAATGAAAGAGAGATCAAACTAGAAAACAAACGATACCTACCTCAGGAGGCAGGCTTGCCTCCTGAGTGCCAGATAATAATAAATGATGTGTTTGTAATCCACAGCAGAGATGCAACGGCATTTTCTTTGACACCAAATGCTAAAGAGGGAGCAAATAGCTCTGTAAAGTGCTTTTTCCAATGCAGGGTGAAAGATCTTTCACCAGCAATAGGATGATCTCTGGGAAAGATTGCTAGTATCTTTTTATTTCATAGTAGCGTGAAGAATCCGACTGTGTTTATGTATCTAATACCAAATAATTTCAGGAAGAAAAGAGATTCAACTGCAGTTTAAGTGAGTCTATGAAAAAGAAATACACAGGAAGGGTGAGAAACTGAATCTGAAAAAGCCTGGAATCAAGGGAGAACTATACCTTTTTGCATCAATTCAGCTGGAAAACTCCTTTCAAATGTAAGGAAAAAGAGGGGTAATCCCACATCCTTCTAGAGGGCAGCCCCCGTGGTATTTGAAGAGCACTCCAAGAAGCAACTGCACAAGTTGGTCAGGGGAAATCAGGATCCGTGCACATTCAGTAGAAGTAAATGAACTCCAGGAGAACAGAACTGACTTCGTTATAATATGATCAGATAACTTCTATATCACTCCTCCACAAATACGAAATGTCATCCAGCATGACCTTCCCTTCAACTAAATAGTCTGTACCCCACCAAAAGATTAAAAGGCGGGCTTAAATTTACACCAGGACATTTTAATTCTCTGTATTAATGCCACCTTTAAAAAAGTGCAGCGGGTTTTATTTCCTGGTTATTTCCTGAGGCCACATGTTGGCTCAGCAATTCTGGGTTTCACTGAAACACCTGCTCTTTGCAGGCTCCACAGACCGAAGGACAAGTTAATTAGGTAACTTACCCAAAGGTCACATGATGAGTAAAGTAGGATTAGCACTCAAGTTCCTCCTGGCAACTAGTCCTGTGCTACGACAATTAGAAAAGGTTAACCATCCTCTTTTAGCTTTTGTTTTCCATCTTCCAGAACGGCGCAGCACGTATGCTGTGTTACATTGCCTCTGCAGTATTTTAGAAAAAAACGCACAAAACAAACAAAGAACTCACCCCAAAAAGGGCTTTGAAAATCGCCGTATCTGGTGGTGCTTGAGAGGGAATGGAGCAAAACAGTGGATTAAGCTAAGCACACTGAATATGAATTCTGGAAAATGCCCCACTCCCTTGCTAATCCCCACGCACAGACCTTGAGTGCCCGCTGCTCTGCGACACAGTCATGCTGCTGCCTGCCTTCTGCTCAGAAGGTGCCCTGGCTCCCCTTTTCCCTCTCTCCTGCAGGCAGATGAGACCTGGCAAATACTAGTAAAGGGTCTGCTAGCTGAGTTATGATCTCCTGCTTTAACTCCTGCTTGCCTGAGATCTCTTGCCTGAGTCCCCTGTGCCAGCATAGCCAGGTCAAGTCTGTCATTTGGCCTAAACCTTTGCAGAAAGCAGCTGCATGGGAGCCATTTGCCACGTTGCACAGTGCTGTGCAGGTCTGTGTACCTAGTGCCATTTTGCTCCTCAGCTGGACTGGTCTGTCCATGCCATGCTTCAGCAGACATGCCTGGGAGCACAGGTGAGCAGTTTTCCATGCACGCTGGTCCTCACCCACAGCCCACTGTTCTCTTCTCCAGCCTATCCTCACCCTGCCTTGCCTACTGTGGTGGCTTGCAGGCTTTGAAGGAGAAACAATGCTACAAAGGAGCACAGGCCTCTGTCCCTCCCCACCCTGGGGGGAGTTTGTGCTATCCTGGGCTGACAAGCACCCCCTAACTCAGCTTGGATCTGCATGGGTCAACACCTGATCTCCCCCAAAATGACTGATCCCTCGCTGCCCGAGTGCTACAGGACAGACAGGTTTCTGTCTTGATTTGGAGGCAGCTGTGAAGGG